ACTTTCTGGGTAATAAATTACCCCATTATATACCTAAAAGTAGGTTTGCTAATCTAATATCCACATAGAACGGCAACTTCCAATTAAAGGTTGTAGTGTTGTACGTTCAATCTTGATCCTTTGGCTTTTCTACCTTGATGTTGTTATTTTTGTGTTCTCTTTGGAAGTTAATAAGTCAGAGGTTAAACTAATTCTAATGAATTCTTTTTTATTTTGCTCATCAGGTTTTATTTGAGCCCAAGCAGTGGGACTTCCTGGTGGATCAATTTAAACAGGAGTTCTGCAGGCTATATGGCATGACCTTGGAGCCATTGCTAAATATTTATCTACAAGCAGGCTTGTCTGCTTTGAAAACTCCGTATCCACGTACATTTTTTAAGTACATCATATTGTAACTACAATATTTAAAGTTCACTTTGAAGTTGCTAAATGATCTGATAAAACTGACACTAAGGAATGCTTTTTCAACAGTATTGTTACGTTTCTGCACATGTATCTGCCTTGACCTGATTTAGATACTGTTATGAAGCTGATTGCACAAAGGAGGATCCACTGTCACAGGAGAGCTTCCGAAAATTGGCATCACCTTTACCATTCTCCAAGCAGCATCACTCAAAACTTGTTTGCTATATAACTAAAGAGCTGATGGATACAGAGAACCCACCTCAAGTCTTACCTAATGGCTATGTCTACAGCCTAAAGGTTTGCATTTTTCTACATGGTAGTATGTTTTATATCAAGTTGATCTTAACTTTTTCATTTAATTGCAGGCTCTCGAGGAAATGGCAAAAAAAAACAGTGGTAAAATTACCTGTCCAAGAACAGGTGAAGTTTTTAATTACTCAGAGGTAGTCAAGGCATACATATCATAAATCTTCATGCGCAGAGAGGGAAAAAATTTCTTCGGGCTGATGTTGCCAGATATCCTGCATGAATAGCAAATTCCATCCTCTCAATAAATGTTAAGGCAGAATCATGTAAGAACTCAGTGGTTAATTTCTTTTATATTTGGTAGTAGCGTTTCATGTACATATATGCAAAAACAGTTCTGTGATTTATTGTTGAAACCTTACAAGTTGAATGTTTAATTTGGCAAGCAAGAATAAACTGCTTGCCTTGTTAGGCAATTGAATAAATTTGATTTCCTCGTAGCCACTTTTTCTATTTTTTTTCTTGAACGGTTATGACACTTGAATTCTTACCTGTGGATTAACTCTTGTATACCAATGAATCCACCCTTAGAAACATTTAAAATGCCTCGAATTGCTGCATAAGCAGTTACTTAATTGCCTTCAATTCCAAAATTTCCCCGAGTAAATGGCAGCAACTCGGGGGACCTCAATGTGTAATTAAGTAAAGAAATAGTAGGGCTATCATTTGTCGAATGCCTAGGTAACCATATAATTGAAAGGGAAATTTGAGCATTCCAACAGCAATACACATTTCACGTCTCAGGCAGTCAGGCTGCCTCACTTAATGACCCAGAGAAAAAGGAAAAACGCTAGCCTAAAATTTTAGGACATTTATAGAAAGAGAAATCAGAGCATTCCAACAGCGATGCATATTCAAGATAACTCGGGGAATTGCAACTGCCTTTTTAAGTTGATCTAAAGACATCACGAAGAAGCATGATTATTCGTCCTCATCCCTTGGAAGTGGACTAGGGCTGCGGCTGTGACCATTTTCCCTCACGGGGCTCCTATAATCCCTGTCTTCAGGGCCATCAGCATCATGAATAGGGCTTCTGCTCTTTCCTCTGGGACTTGCACTGTAATCTGAGCCATTCGCTTGCCTGCGACCCCTAGGAGATAAGCTACCTCTCTCTCGAGGACTTCTCTCATCTGGTGTCAGACTCCGCTTATGCTTAGGACTCCTACTATCTCGGGGGCTCCTTGATCTTCTTCTTTCAACCCGATCAAGACTCCGTTCCCTTTTGACAGGTGATCTGGATCGGCTGGAAAAGGTTCAAATGCAGTTCAGTTGTTAATCACAATGAATAGCAATGAAAAGGGAGCTTGCAGGTCAAAACTCTAACGCAACAAAACAGCATTGACAAGGAGCGCCAAGCCTAATGATTTCATACAAATAATGAAAAGAACAAATATGTATTACAGGAACCAACTCTAGCAAAAACAAACCTGTAACTACGCCCCCTGCTGTAACTACGGCTTCTACTTCTACCATGATGAGGAGAAGGCGAGCGTGAATAACTATGACCTCGCCTACTAAACCAGGAGAAATTTCAATCCAACTCAGTGAAGCAATTGTAGATTTTTATATATATACAAACATTTAGATAAAACAACAAATTGGAAAAATAGAGAGAGAAGCGACCTTAGCTTCTTTGGACTATTTTGACAACTTCTTTCTACGTGGCCTCGTTCTCCACAGCGATAACACTTGTTCTTCCAGTCTCCAGCTTTGCAATCTCGAGCCCAGTGACCATCAATTCCACAGTTGAAGCAGCGTCCTGTACCAGGAGCAGGACCTCTTCCAGGGTACTCACGAGATCCACCAGGACCACGGGGAATCTAGACTCATGTTAAATTAAATTAGACCTATTTTCAAACAACTTAGACTCTTTGGCAATCTCCACTCGATGATGTACATAAACCACAATTAGAACGAGAAAATGTAAACAGATAAAGCAGATGATGGGATGATGCATACCAAATCCAAATGTACAAATTTGGATTGGCAATTGGAAAACAAATCCTATCATTAAAGTACTGATCCAAGGACACTGGGAATGCAAAAAATCATTAAAAATTATATTATAACTATCCACGAGTCGCCAGACAGTAAATTGCTTAAGAATCATAACAAGTCAAATTCATTGACTTTTTAACAGTATATCAAGAAAACCAGACTAGAAAAATAAAAAATCAAAAAGTAATGAGGAAAATTTCAGAATGACTTACTCCCTTAGCAAACTCCACAATGAGCCGGCTTCCATCAAGTTCACGACCATTCAGGGCATATCTTGCATCATCAGCATCTCGAGGGTCACTGAATTCCTTTTGACAGGAAGGAAAAAAAAAAGAGAAAAAAAGAAGAAGAAGAAGAAGAAGACAAAAAAGACTTAAGGAAAAAAGATAACATTTCCAACATATATTTCAGATTAAAAGGGGGAATTGGAAACATAGTCCTGAAGTAGAGGAATACATACAACAAATGCATAGTCGCGCTTCATATCCACATCTCGTACTCTGCGTAAATGGGGCCACAAACAGTAAGGCCATCATCACACAATTATGGAAGGGTTCATAGTTCGCCCCCTCAGAAAGACACCACTTTGAGTTTGTTGCCATTTCGAAAAAACATGCTACAACACTACAGAAAGACTGGCCCAAATCCACCAAGGTCACCCTCTCACCAAAGACCTCCAGGTTAGGCAAAAGCCAAGAAACCTTCAACAAGATCATTCACGTCAAACCACACAGACACGTGGAGGGGTGCAACATTCTCACTTAGAAGTAAGAATGAAGACTGAATATCAACCACCAAAGGTACTCAACACAGACTTCATTTTTCCAACTTCTATGTGACCAAAACCTAGACCTTTACCGACAACAACACACACTCATGTGATGTTCAAACCCAAAACAGACTCATGTGATGTTCAAACCCAAGAGAAACCAAACAAAATTAGAACAAAAAAGATAAGATCTGTAGGAGTGTTTAAAAGTAATTCAGAGTCCAGACACAAGAAAACCAACTCATATTGCACAAACAAAATGCAAATTAATGCTAGTAAACATGGTGTTGAATCTACCATTCCCCATCAAAGCAATTGTACCAGTTCGAAATTTTCGAAAGGGAAAAAAGGCTATGATTACCTCCCGTATCTGCTAAACATGTCCTCAAGATCACGGGATCTCGTTCTCGAAGACAAGTGACCCACGTAAAGACGCGTACCACCGCGGCGGTCATCGTATCGAGGCATGTTTTCGGCCACAACTGTGTAGATAAACGGCAAAAAGCTCAGTAATTTCAACAAGAAGAGATTGCGCTGAGAATTCTTGAAGAGAAAGCAGAGATGCGTACCCAATAAACCCTAGATTTTCGAAGAGAGCGAGCAAGGGACAATTCTGAACTCCAACTGATGTACTTTTATTTTTAGCACCAATAATAGCATTTGCCAACCACGCAGCTGTTGTTGGATATATTCTCACAAAAAAAAAATATATATTATTAAAAATAAATAATAAAAATAAAAGAATTTATTTTTATAAAAAAAGAATAATTGTTTTTATTATTTTATAATTTAAATTATATTAAATTATAAAATTAAAATTTTTGAATGAGCAAAATCTTTTAATATTAGGGGTAGAGACTCTTAATGTTGGTGATAGAGTTTGTTTCTCATTTAAAGATATATATTTTATAATTTTAGTATAAATTAAATTATAAAATATTATTTTAATAATAAAATGCTAAAATAATATTTTACTTTTAATAAGTTACATTAAATGATGATAATATTATTAAGCAATTTGTAGATCATACACCACCATCTTTATTATTTTTAAGATATCATTTTAGATATCATATGAATTTATAAAATCAAAACATTATAAATCACTATTTTTTGGTAAATAATATGATAAATCACTCAAAATATAATATTAAAATCTCAATTAACTTTTAAAAAATACAGTTAAAATCTATTGTACTTAAAAAAAAAAAAACTTATTCACACTAACATGTAATTTTTGTTGTCAAAATATATAAAAAAAAAATAAGGTTGTTATATAAAATAATCTTATACTTAAATATGAAAGGAAATTTTAGCTAGATCAAAAAGTGATTTTTGAGGCAAAAGTGAAGGGGTAAAAATGGAATTTTGATGGTGAAGTTGGAGAGATATGTTAAGTGATAGATTATAATGACTAACAAAGACAACAATTAAGAGAGAAAATGATGATCATATGAGATATTCCACTTTGATAAATTGTTGAAAGACAAAAAAGAACTCCATAACTTTTTGATGTTTAAAAAGCTTGGAAGACCAAAAATATGGACAAAAAAAGTAATGAACTTTTAATAGAACTTACTTATAAAAAAATCAAATAAGAGAGAAATAGATAGAAATAGTGAGTGATGAGAGATATAAGAATGAGGGAAGACTCAAGTTTTCTATTTATAAATTTTATGGGGCTGAGGAGAAGGATTTGCAATTTTTCTTTTAGCTGTTAGGATGTCGTCTTGCCAATTTACACAAGATTAATATCTTCTCTATTTAGACAAATACAATTTATCCATATCAAAATTAAAAAATTTATAAAAAAAAAAATTATTATCTTATGTAGACCTCAAAAAATCACATTTTAACTAATAAAATGAAGAATAAATCTTTTCACCAACTAAACCACACTTATTGGTTGCATGTGAAAATTTATTACCAAAAGCCTACCCTACGTATATATTTGCTTGAATTTGCAAGGAAGGGCAGTTACGCGGAGAAATGTAAATGCGTGGGGTATATAGAATGCCACATTTTCAATTCTGACCTAATTGAAAAAGTTATAGTTCCTTAAGGACTATGTCAAGGCAAAATTGGGCTAAAATTGTCGACTTCATTTTCCCTTCGTTTTAGATATCTTAATTTGATTTTTACTTAAAATTTGATTTGATCATTTTACATAATATAAAAATTACAATTAAAATTTTTTCCTTAGATATAAAGTTTATTGAATATTTTCATTTAAATTTATTTCGTTTTCAATTGTCTTTAATTTGTTAAGTTATTTAATATTAAAATGAGGGACTAAGACAACAAAAAAAAGATCAAATGGAGTATTGATTTACAATATCAGATATATAAATACTAAAATAACCCAACTCAGGACAAATGTTATTAAAATAACCCTACTTTTTTTTTTTCCTTGAAACTCAATTAAAAGCATATCATTTCATCAAAGCCATATGACACCAACATAAGAAATTCCTATCTCATTGATAAAAATAAATTACAAACAAATAAAGTACAATTGGAGATAAAATGAAAAGTAAATCAAGTTTTAAGACATATAAAAGAAAGGCAGTGGGCATTTCACATTAAACAACTGCTAAGGAAACAGATATTCATAGATTTATGCAATTAATCATTTTAGAGAACTGAACACCATTTAATCTACTCTTGCATAAATTATGCATGTTCTCCAGAATGCCGTGGCTGAAACGTAAGAGCAAGTGGTGGCCATCCCCTAAATTCTTCATGATTGGCTTGTTGGCTGCCATACCTGAGCAAACCAAAACAAGAAACAAGAAACAGAAAGAAAAGAGAACAAAGGCCACCAACAGGACCACAAAAAAAATCTGGTAGACCACCAAAGTGGTCACCAGACATTGGAGCACAGTTGACTAGCTCCACCATAGCTTCTCAAGCATCAAAATCTCGAGAAGCCCAAAGGCTTCCGAACACTCAAAAAGGGGATGAAAACTGAAAAAGTTTGGAGGCAGATGCTAGAGAGTTCTAGAGGAGAGGGAGAGAACCTAGAGAGACTAAAAACAACCTACTTAAAACAAAATAACAAAATAAATGAATTGAATTGGTTTGAAATTGAGTCATCTTAAATCACAAGATTGTGAGTTAAATAAGGCAACCTTATCCCTCTAATTTGAAGATTTTGCAATGTTTGTGTGTCCTGTGAACCCTCTCACATGCATTATTATGGATCAAATAAGTAAGGTCAGATAAGTTCAGAGGTTAACAATCAATTCCCTATTTTAAGTGAATAGGTTGGGTTGGTTTCTCTTTTCCACCGAAGGCAAGGTTGGGTTGGGTCACTTCTCGCTGTTACTTAAGAGGCAAATACCAAACACGCCTTAAGCTTGTTTCCGTACCTGCTCTTCAAACGACGACACACATTGAATCTCTCCTCCTTTTACCACCTTACAGATTTCTTCCGATCCTCTCCTCGTCTATCTTTTCTTCTCTTCTCCCGCTTTAGATTCTTTTTTTCTTCTGTAATCTCTGCTTCTTGCATTTTTAGTTCATAGAAACATATATTCCATTTGATTCAATTCATTTTTGGCTGTTTTGTTTTGTTTTTCTATCTGGGTTCTTTGGTGATCTCAATTTTTTTGTTTTCTGTCATTCTGGTTTCACGCCACAAAGGCTCTAACCTTGGAGGCTGATTTTGGGCATTCTTTTGAAGGTTAGAATCGGTTGCTCGATTAGGATTTTTTCTGGTTTTTTGTTATTTGGATGCAAAACTCTTGCTTTTTTCTTTTCTTTGTTATTCTACTTGTTGGGGAATAAGTGGAAGCCTTTTTATGCTAATTATGTTTTGCTGTGATGGATTAGGATGCTAACAATATGATGAATCAAGGAGGTAACATACAGACTGTAGCTGCACTGGACCCTAGTTCTGCTCAGGTCAAGGTAATTTTCTGCTGAGAAAAGGTTTATGCTTTTTACCCCTTCTGGTCTCTTTTAAGATGGGTCTTTGATTTAAGTAAGTGGTTTGGTTAGAATTGGTTCGTAAATTTGCTCCAACCATGGACCAAAGCTAGTGGTGTTGCAGGAATGTTGAAACTCTTCTTTTTTCTTTTTTTTTTTGGATCAGCGCAAAAATGTTGAAACTAAAGAGCATTGCTTGTGATGATGAATTGGGTGTTTGAATTGTTTTGAAAGTGACGAGAGTTATTTAGCCAATTGATTGGGTTGTAATGGGTCCAGTCATACTTTACACTTGAATTAAAGTGCCGTCTTTGACCAATTTAGTTTT